ATACTAAAGAACTATGTAACCTAGGTAAATTTCTGTATTTTTCTTATCAATTAAGAAATGATGTTTTAAATAGTGTACAATAAGAAGTGATAATACATTAAATGCTATTGTTTATGTAATTGCCACATGTAATGTATATTGTATAGCATATACTACACTTATCCTGTGCAAAGCTTATGTATAAATATTTATGTACATATTTTGTATACCTATGAGATGTAATGTCTCTGGTTCAAATAAAACAAACAATGTAAGGTCAAGGTGAATATGTTGTCACACACTCGGTGGAACGTAAACTGTTTTATAAACAGGGCACGAGCTCTGTTATTGTAAATGTTTATATTTTACGGGGTGTGTTCAATTTGTTAGACTCTGCACACATCACTGAACACGGACTGGCAATACGGTTGAGTTGGTTTTGCTTTCTCACATTTGTACTCTGAATTTTCTGGATTAAATCTTTAATTTTTTTCATTAATATACAGCATTAAGTATTAAGGATAAAGTTTACTTTGTAAAAGTGCAAGGATGTGTCAAATTTTAGTTGCAATAATTTCCAGATAAAATAAATTTTTTATTATATTTTTCCTGTGAAATGCTATAGCAACATATAAGTCATGGTATTATACAGAAAAGTTGAGAAAAATGTGTCTATGTCCCACATCAACAAATATCGTCCAGAAGGTGCCGCGTCCGAACGAATGGCGTCTAGCACCACTGTAAAACTAGTAAAGTATTGGTACATTTTTGTAATGTTATGACATCACATCTTTTAACAAACGTTTTAATCTACTGATTAGTTTTCGTTTATCATGAACCATAAAAAAAATGCTTAATTCTTACATATAGATAGTTGTAGTTGAGCTTGTAGACAGCAAAAAACATTTTCTTTCCCACATACCAGGTATATAATGAACAATCAGTAAGGAAATTATATTCATCTTCTATACAATTTTAAGTTACATAGTTCATATATTCTTTTATTTCTTTCTAGGAAATTTTCCAACTAGTATTAATTCTGACAAATATTTATTAGTAGATATTGTTTTCGTACATGATTTTTTTTTATAAGAATTTAAGCTTTTTTGCAATTAGATAACAATATTTCATTTCTGTATTAAAATAATTTAAATTTTTGTACCAACAATTTATAATGTAGGAATTCAATTACCAGTTATATTCCTAGTATAAACACTGTGTTATAGGGATGATACTGGACTATTTTCAGTTCTATGAGAGTATAGTAAGGTATTTTTGGATTATTGAGCAAAACATCTAATATCTTTCTTTTTCTGAAATTATTGCAATTTCTTTTCACGGCACCCAATAAATGCTTACAAAACTAATATTCAATTTTTAAGTTCCACAATTTTTGAAAATATTTAATCTCTATTTCTGTAATATACATAATATACGATGTACGTTTGTATACACATGTATATGTTTTATTACAAATCTCTTTCTTGTAACAAGATAGGATCATTCATTATTACTATACACCTTTTCTCTGGTGACTGTAAATTGTTTTGATTGGAGTAAAGGATGTGTTGTTAATTGCAGTCAATTTTTTTTTCATTTTTTAAATATTGGGTATAGCTTATCAATTTGATATGAAGTAAGATGAAATATGAAGATAACGAACAGTATTCAATCTCGAAAGCCCAATGAAACGATACAAATTTGGAGCAGAGCAAATACGGACCTCAAAATTTTGAGAAGGGATTAGGCGCCACGGAGGAGTGAGCATCCCCTGCCGACCGGTCACAACCGCCGTGTTCTCCTTGTCATGATCGGTAAACAAAAACCGGAAAAATCAGTAGACAGTTCATTGTATAAATAATGGCCTAACAATTAATATGAAAAACGTCATTCAGCATTTGACTCAATGATAGGTTGTATGTGCTGACAAGGTCATTGTATCGACCGAAAAACTTGCGAAAAGATTACTTCAAATGAAACTGTTGATATCCTTGTTTCGTCAACTTGTTTGTCAATAGCTTGCCTCGTTTTAGAAATTGTTCATACGTAGAGCATGCTCTTGCATATCGAATCAACTGAGAGACATAAACCCTAAATACAGGTGATTAGGGTATATTGCTACATAAGTAAGGGAAGTTGACGATTGAAAAGTTGAAGTTATCACGTTTATCATAAAGCTTTGTTGTTAGGTTACCATTAACGTCTTTTTCTAGTAAAAGAGACATATTTACGTATGCCTGTCTGAAAAAAAAAACAATATTAAGAAGCTTATTACATTTATACTTTTAAAACCCAGGTTAATTCTTACAATTGATATAATAATAATAAAAAACATCTCATCCAAGATCACATGGGTACATATTTTCTCAACTGCTGGTTCTCAAATTCCTACGTTTAGGTTTACAAATTCTGACGCGTTTTGCATATTCTTAACGGCAGAGATTTTAAGCACCGCCTTCAGAAATTACCTTGTCAGTGTACCCTGTCAATCAATTGCATTAAGGTCCATCATTGTCTGCTAGGCATTTTCTTACTAGTCCCTGTGTATATCCTATACACTTGTTTGGTACTTGTGGCGATCCTCAAATTAACTTTTGTTCCTTTTAATATTTACCGCACATGGTATAAAGAAGCTGCATTACTAGGAAAAATTTTAGCTTAATAAATGAATAATTATATATACCTTTGGTATTTGATATAATATTCATCATGATATTATATCAAACTTAGGTATAATTACTTTTTTTCCAAAGTGAATTTCGATACACAGTATAATTGATTCAGTATTTAAACTTGAATATATAGGTACATATTAATTTTAATATGCTAAGCATAAAATGTCATGTAATTGAATTTAAAAATGTTTAAAAATGTTTCTAATCATGATTACATAGGTCACTGATATTTTGCTTCGTAATTCGGATAAGAATTTATAAGCAATTTTTTAAGCATGTTTAGACATGGTGACAAGGGTAAGGATAAATCTAATTAATATTTTTATTTTTAAAAAATGTTAACAATCCTCTTTTTCAATATAATAGATGGGATCTCGGAGATCAATGTATAAAGTCTGATTCGAATTCTATTTCGCCCGTACACAGTACTTAGGTGTTTTTTTTTCTACACAGCATTTCTCGCCACGTAGGTCATGTTACTGTCCAGAGTCTTTTTTTTAATTGACACAAAAGTCATATACTCACATCTAAAACACTAATCTCTTAATTTTAATATGTGAATTACTGGTATTACATTTTTAAAATGGTTATGAATATTTTCAACGCTCTAGAAGCAAGCGTCTTTCCGTATTTTTCGCTACATATGCTATTTAATGGGTCACGCAGTCTTTCAGGCAAACGAGAAGTAACTCTAAATATGGCCGTAATTGGAGCTCAACAAATACTTTCGAAAATAATATTTTTTTTTAAAAAAGATGGGGACGTTATGACACACATTCAAACACAAATCAATATAAATTATTTATATGATTTTTATTTACAACTTTTTACCTCTAATTCAAAATCGTCTCGAAATCCCAAACACAGGCGAAGTTCGACTTCCTGGGTATTTTATTGTGTATTAAATCATTTTCGGTGTATAGCGATTAGGAGACATAGACCATAGGAAGACTTCAAGCCCTAAAGGCATTCACACCTGTACAAAATAAGCCCCTCCCTCACCTGGTATTTACACCCGGTAAAAAAATCCCTGTCTTTAATTAAGCACCGATTGCATATTTTTGAACTGCCGTTTTTACTTGCACCCTTGCAGAGTCATAGATTTGTTGTATTCTCTTCAAAGTTCATTTTCAATGATAAATTCTTTATTATTATTATTATTTTATGGTGATTATGTATTAATATATGAAAACAAAGAATAAAAATGTATTACATTATTATGAATACTAGATCGTTCATTGCATTTCCATTTGAGCGACTTTATCATGCAATCAGCCTTGTTTTTTCACAAGACAGTTAGTAGCTCTAAAATGTGCCTGCATATTTTTTTATGATTTACAAAAATAGGCAGACACCTGAACGAGGGGATAAAAAAAATTGAACTTCGGTTTTGTGATAATTTACGGTAAAGGTTGTACGCTTTAGTCCCCTCCTAGATTGGTCCTTAATTAATTTATTTAACTGCATATTTCAAAGTAAGAAGAAATGTTCCACAATTCTGTTTTTCCCGTGTCTGCGATCAACGTTCAATATACATGTAGGTCACAACCTTTGCTGTCGCCAATTGTTTGTATATGCCCCTCGCTAAAATAGTGCGGAGCGAAAGGAAAATACATATCATAATCTTACTCAGAAACTTGAATTTTAGTATTTGTATGTCTATGGAAAGACTATTATTGCTTGAAGATCACATTAAATACATTTTCAATCTTATTGCATGGACGAAATTCTGATTTTAATGCATGTATAAGGAGAGGGCAATATTTCTTGGAGAACTGATATAAATTAACGTTTAAATATTTTCAATCATTCTTACATGTGCTATTGTTTAATATTGCATATCAGCAACATACATCTGATTTGATTCTTGCATTCTAAGGTACATTTGTATCACATGTTCACATAAAAAGTAGTGAAGTGTCTTGAAGAGCAAAGATAAATAAGAAATTACCGATGGTAGTGATTAAAGGGGGCGCCATTGAAGCTGGACGACAGCATACCACTTACGTCCCCTCGAAAATTAAGCATAATCCACTACAAGATTAATCATTTTGATACATCAGATTTTTTCTTAAGAGATTCTACATTGACAACCCCAGTGATCAAGATAATGATGTGGATTCTATACATGAATTTAACCTTCCGTTACCTGTAACTTTTATTTATTTATTTATTTATTTATTTATTTTTTTTTTTTTTTTTTGATTTTGTCATTATAATTTATATCCAGTCTAAGCTCTGTATTAATCTATGAATATTAGGTACAGTTTCTGATGAGGTCGAATTAAAATCTCTTAAAACATTTATGAACAATACAAGTTCCTCTTCGTATTGATTTGTAGACAATAAGTTATATATATAATTTATTGATGATTTTTTTTTTAAATATACTGCTTTCTTCAAAATATTAGAATTTAGTAGCCCTCCAAAGTAGTACATGTAGGGCAATTAAACAAGTATACAAAACTACATAATCCTGACTTAAATAGTTTAGTTAGTTGATGTGATCAATCAAGTAAGACAGTCTAAACATACACGTTCATGGAAAATATTGTGCACATTATATTTCATTGACTAAGAAACATCAACTAGAATAACAATTAACAAGATCAGAAGTTAGGTAACTAAACATGGCTAAGTACAAATTAAGTTTGCATGCCAAAAAAAATTAACTAAAGTAACGCACTATCTCAAAACTAAACATAACGAATAACTAGCTAACTTTAAGTACTTGATAGATTATTTTTTTAAACGTAATTTTGTGTTATTTACAATAAAATTGAAAGCAACTGAATGATTAAATAATCAAAGTTGAGATTGTTGTCAAGCATTACCGTTTATATTCTAATTTTCTTGCATAAAGCGAACGTAAAAACGAAGTACATGTATAAAAGTGATTTTGTCCAATAAAATTTACCCTTTACACAGGTTTTAATGCTTTAAGAAGATGTTTTTCAATAAATAAATCTAAATGATTTAAAAATTGACCATATCAATGTTACATAAATTACTGTATCTACACCACAGCACACGTATTGGCCTTCCTGTCCACTTGTTAAACTCCCTAAAATATGAAAAAAATAAAAATTAAATTATACAATAAACAGATTCAAAAAAACAAAATCATTCACTTTAGAGAGACTATTAAAGACTAAAAATTAAAATATTAAGTAGCCGGTTACTGGTGCCTTCATAATTGGGTCATTAAGTATATGTTGAGACACAAGCAGATTTATTATAAGCGGTTATTGATGCATTCACATTTACGTCATATAGAACAGTAAAGTCTAATCTGGACATCACTGGTTAAATAGAAATTGGCCGTGTGAGAAATTATTCCGGATTAAACAACATTTTAAACAATTGAATTTAGAGGGACTTACACTTAACATCGTATATGGTAAGATTTTGGAATACACAACTTCCGGATTAGATAAATTCACAATATGTGTTAAGATGGGGGCGGATTTATTATAAGCTGAAAATTCGAATTGGATTTCATTCAGAAGATTGCTTGAAAAAAAATTATCTTTCTTAAATGTTTTGTACATAAGTTCCAATTCATTAAGTAGTTTTGCATATACTAGTACTTTACCTCCTTCCAGAATCATTTCAGTGCTTTGCCTGTCCATACTACATAGAAAAACTCGCCCTGGTGTATATTTTGCAATGAAGCCATCGATTCCAAGAGGATGTCCTATAAGAAGGTCATGTAAGTTTTTAATTCATTCTTAGTTCTATTCGCCTTCTGCATTAAGGTATGTCACTCGTGAAATTTGTTATATCAAGGATTTTTTGAGAAGTATATTTTGGATTAGTACTCATATAGTATGACTCAAAATCGCAGAGAAAATTGGGAGTCAGTGTGCATCTAACTGAGCTACGGTACAATTAAGTTGACCTTTTTGCACTTAAATTGTAACTCTTTGGTTAATCACTTTAACCGTTATTATATTTTATAAGATGTAACCATGGCAATAAACAATCTTATTTTACGTAAAATAGTTTGAATAATATTTATCATTGAACAAATCATGCAAATTAATGTGCTTAAATTATCGTGTGACCTTTTTGCACTAAAAAAGTCTCATATTTGAGGTATTAAAAATCTAAATAGGCAATAGAATATTTTCTTGTATCAAACTTTTTACGACTTAAGTGCTGATCGGTCAAAAGTATCGAGTAGTTTAAGATAATGAAAGAAAAATTTGGGGTCAGTGATGTAAATTTTGAAATATTGGTCAAAATATGTGATTTTCAGGCAAAAAACTGTGTAAATTTTATCTCGACTTCCATAATATATCTTCATTTCTTGGCAATGTTTGTTGAGTGAAGGTGTAAATTTTGTTATAAAAATATAAATTGAGACCTATATTTAATATTCCAGGCATATCATAACGGAAAATATTCTCTGAGTAAAAGTATGTGAGGCTAAAGTTCCAAGATATCAAATTTAATAAATGTGTAGATTTGCAGAATTTTCTTCTAAATATCCTTCCGCCACAAGAAATAGTCCCTTATAAATCTTGCTTCTTTGTGAATTTTTGAGCAGTTTTTTAATTGAATGTTGAACATTTTACATTGTTTAATTTAAATATGTTATAAAGATTGAATTGTAATAAATAGTTTTTAAGTAAGAGGTTCTGACAGAAAATTTCTAAAAGGCTGACGAGTGACATACCTTAAACTTCAAACATTTTTAACATCCATTCTGTAATCGCCGGAATTTCTTCTCGAATAATTGAAAATCATTATTTTGTTTCTGGAGAAAACATAAATTGAATCATTGCGTGATATAATTGTATTGTTGACGCATCATAGCTCTCATCACTAGAATTGGCGTGCTCGATCATTGATCTGATGCATGCAATATTTTAAGGTCCTGTAACTAACTTTTTATTTGCGATAACTTTTTTGCTTTATTATGAGAGACGGTCTGCTCGCAAAATTTCATTCTTGCGTATATTTGTATAAAATATTTACTAAATTGGTGGATTTTTTTGTCTTTTCTTTTTTTTTTCTTTTGATTTGTTTTTGTTTTTATTTTTTTTATTTTTTGTCAGCTCTTGAATATTTTCGCATTTTATATTATATTCATCAAATGCGATTAGTTGTCATGGAATTTCATATAGTGGAAGTGGAGACAGAATTAATTATTCATGCCTCTAGTAGAAGCTACGTAATATTGTAAATTTTGTACTGTAATTATTTGATCAAATGATGTTTTTGATTAAAAAACTATTGAAAAATTATTGTATATCATTTTCTAGAAGTTCTGTACGGTACACATTTATCTCGAACCATGTATTTAAAAAGCGGATGCCCGTCGCCCATAATTATCCGAGAGAGAGAGGTGTGTAATAATTAACTTTCGTTCAAAATCCGCGAAATTAACACAGAATATACAAGATATTTACTAGATATATACACAACGCCAAACTTCTCGATATAACAGGTGATCTAGGTGTTCCAATATGATTTCTACCCGTTTTTTGATATAATTCCCTTAGTATAATTATGTCACCATCACTGTGGCGTAATAGATAAGCTAGAAGCGGGAGGAACCAAATTCGATTTCTTGGATTATCAAGCATTTTGTAGGCTTACTTTTTTTTAATTCGAAAATATATAATATAAACATTATAAGGAAAAAAGAAATAAAACTGCTTCGTTAAAATATTAAGCAGGTAATTGAATAAAAAGTTAAAAATTTTAAATAAATGCCACGAAAAGAACAAGGTACGGTTTCAATACAAATCTTGCCCTGTGTTTTTCTTAAAAATGAAAGTGATGTAAAAAAAAAAATTAAAATTCATGCTTTCTGAATCTTTGAAAATCCATGCAGAAAGATCTTGCAAATCATTTTTCTCACTTGAACTTCTAAATGCTAATTGTGACGTCATAAACATGTGCATTTTCCCGTATTTTCTTAAAAAGTTACAGAAGACACCGATTTTCAATGAAATTTCTTTCACATAATACTGTCCACAGGCATCGCCCACAGAGATTTTGAGATGTGTGATTTTTCAAAGAATTTTACAAAACATATCCAACAATTATAGTGGGCGATGGCTGTGGACATTATTTTCTTAAGGAAAATAACCCTTGAAATGGGTCATTTTGAGGCTTTTTCTGTTTAAAATAGAGAATTGCATCAAATTAATGACGTCATATTTCCAGAATGGTACTCCTTCATGCCAAATTCTTTCCTGATTTATCACATTCATATACTCTACTAATATTTAAGTCAGTTTCAAAACTTTTTGAAGACATTAAATTTTTAAGGCATAATGAAGTCAAAACTGTACCTTCTTCTTTATCTGACATTCAGTTGACTGAATGATAACTGAAGGATCATGGAAATGTCACAGACAGGCTACTTTCAGTGACTTCTCAGTGACTTTGAGTGAGCATTCAGTTACACTTTCGTCAACTGACACTACTGGCTTTCAAAACCCCTGTCCGTATGAAAATCCCCTGTCTTTCTCTGTAACCTACAGCATTTCCACAATTATCTACGGTATATCTACAGTATGGTACGGTATGTCTCCTCTGCATATACAGTAATTCTCAGTATGCCACTGTATGTATCCCCAGCATGCCACAGTTACCTACAGTAGGCCCCAGTACGCCTACGGTAGGCCCCAGTATGGCTACTGCTTCCTACAGTGACCTACGGTATGCCACAGTATATGCCCCAGTAGTCCCCTGTATTGTTAACCGAAGCAAAACGGTAGAAGTACACAATGTTTTAAGAGGCAATGTTTTTACAGTTGAAGCTACATGTATTCATCGCTAAAAATTATTTATGGAGAAGATTATGATGATTTATAGAATTATTTTTGTACATTACATCTCTAAAGTAATGATATACTTGCTATGTTGTAACAAATAAAATTAAAACAAAAATAGTATAATAGATTTATTTCTGACGGGGATGATTACGGTCAATATATTAGAAATAACGATAATTAAACACTATCATTTCAAGAAAAAGTCCTGTCCTGTTGTAAGTGGCTGAGAATCTTTATATCACTTTGAATCATCGAATCATCAACAAGGTCAGTCTGTTTTGACACATTGAATGAACATATTTGGACTTTCTTCGAACTTATTAAAAAGAAGAATTATAGTTCGTATTAAGCCCGCATGTTTTTCAATCAGATAAAATGAACATGTTTGTAAAGATTTTTTTTTTTTATCTAGGAGCATAATTCCCGATAAATATTGTTAAAAATGATGCCATTAATAAAAATGACAGTGGCTAATGAAGTGAGGGACGTGATAACAAATTATTCTTCCTGACGCTTACTTGATGAAATTGAATTATAAGTCGTATTCAGATAATATTTAATTTTTATGTATTTATGTAACGAATTCAGAAACAATTATTAACAGCACTGAAATGTTATTATTCTTTTCTCTTTTTCTCGTTATTTTAAAACGGCCCAGAAATCATTTGAATGTTATTTTCCATTCTTTTTTGTTGCATTTCTGACGAATCCTAATCTGCGTTTTGATTTACGTAATATTCTGCAAAAAGTCAATCAAGATTCGATTGTGAAATCGATCAATCATTTTCTTTTTAATTTATACGCAACTTTTATAAATATTTCAAACTGCTGAGGGCTCAAACTATTTATAATTGGAGGATTGTATAAAGTTATTAAGTTTATAAGCCACCCCCTCTTGTCTCCGTAAAATACGCTAAAGATAGGGCCTGATTACTTGTACACAGTTTTAGACATTAATTCTACGTCACCTTTTTGTTTAATATCGTAATGAAATTCTGCATAATTTGGACCTTATCAGAACAAAATTTTCCGATTTCCGATCATAAAATTAATTAGTATGCTCTTATGGAGATACAGAATTAATTTTGATTAAAATGAAATGAATTTATAATTTAATAATAATTTCATTTACTCTATCATCTAGTTTCAATTTTCAGACCCACTTATGATTAAGAATCATTGATCCGCCCCGCGCTTTTCTTTTATCATCTTCATTGTATGCACTGAGGCAGAACCAGGGTAGGTTCTAGTATATATATCTAATGTAATTTGCAGTGGCTAGCTTAACAATAGGTCCTAATTGCCTATTGTTCTCTGTCTGCGTCTGACCACTGGTGTTAGGACTAAATAAACAACTGACTGACCACTCGTAACAAGACTGTTTTCACATTCACTATGAAATATCAGTTTAATTTATAGTATAGATATGCTAGAAAACTTTAATTTTAAAAAAATATCCCCCCCCCCAAAAAAAAATGAACACTGAAAAACAATATATATACAATTATTACTGCTAATTTGTACTTTATCCTTGCTAATACTTTCAACATCGATGTTGTTTCTTAGGCGCTTCTTTAAGGGGTGAAACGCATGAATTAAAAATATAAGTTTCGGCTATACAGTTTCTGTTTTAAAAATATATATTTGTAATGTAAAATGCATTGAAAAGCAAGCACGAATGCTTATAATCCTCTTATTCACTGGTACATTGAAATAAGCAGTCATTAAAATAATTCGAGTCCAGAGAGAGAGAAAAAAAACCATAATTACACTTTAGATTATGCAAAATAAATGGATAATAAGTTATTTTAAACAAAGGTCAGCGAAAACCTTTTGAAAGAAGAAGATAATTCAATACTAAGTCTTTATTAATTCCTGAAATGCTATAAGTCGTATCATTTAT